CCTTTCTCTCTTGGAGGTTTTTTTTGTTGGCCTGTTAGGTATATCAGGAACCCTCCCCTGCCGGGACTGCCCTAACCGAATTTTTGTTTGTTTGTTTGTTTTCCCTTCGAATCCCGTTTTCGTTGGTGGTGTTTGGGGGAGTTGTTTCAGAGAGCCTTTGACTTTGCCCTAGCTGAGACTTGTGGACTCGCTCTAGCGGGACCTGAGAGCCCTTCGTGGTGTATTCAATGCAGCGCCATCCCCGGATGGAGGGGCTGCGGAGTGGCTGCGTAGAATGTTGGCAGTCTGAGTCGGGGTCGGGAGCACACAAGACTAACCGACTTGTGCTGGGTGCTCCCGACCCTTGCGCTGTGTTTCGGCTTCGGCCCCCGGCTCTCGCGGCCCACAGTGTAATCTAAGTCATACATACATACATACATACACACCTGAGAGTTGTACACGTTGGCCTCAATGCCAGTCAACCCCAGCCGGCCCCCACCAGCCGGCTCCTGCTCCTGCTCCTGCTCCTGCTCCTGCTGTTGCTGCTGCTGTTGCTGGCCCCCCAGTCCCCTGCCGCCACACATGCGATCCATTCCGCTACCGCCAATGGCACCTGAAGCCCCCCTGCCACCTCCGCCCGCTGTTGCTGCTCCCCCTGACCCGCCACCTCCTCCCCATCCTCCCCCGCCTCCGCTGCCTCCGCTGCGTTCCCACATAACCGCCAGCAGCATGGCCGTTGTGTGGTGGGCAGTAGCCGCCAGAAAGACATCCACATTGGGGTTAGCAGGGTTCTGCATGAAGGCCACACAGTCCCCTATCCACACTCCCGCGCGATTGGCAATAGCCTCAGCCAACAGCGTGTTCTCCACCAAATATGTCTGTCCCTCAACCTGGGGCCCGGGGGGGGGGCAGGGGGGTAAGACGAACCGGGCCGGGGGGGCCCGGGGGGTGGAGCGGGAAATGAGGGGTTTGGCACGGTATGGCGGCGTCGCGTGGGGACTGGAAGGGGGAGGAGAGAGAGAGACATGACAGAAGGCATATAAAAGTTAAACGCCCGCGATATGACCTGTCCAAAAAGGCTCGGATCTGGATCCGGATCTGGATCTCGAACCGGAGTGGATTATTATTCAGAATCTATCATTGTCCAAACCCATCCCCCGCTCCACCCAGCACATGCGAATGAATGAGGTCACCGTTGTCTTCCAGACGACTTGTGGGGTTTGCTGGTACTTGCCGTACCGGCAAAACCCTACCAATACCACCAACATAGACCAAGTAATTCTTACCCTTCGCTCCCAAATGCCGTATTACTTGTACGGCCCCCCCACTCCTAAGCCCATCCCACCCCGTCTCGTTGTATGTCACCATCCCCCCACCCCTCTCGAGGTA